ATATTTTTGTTCATTCACAGTAGAAAATACGCGGATGCAGGGTCGGTCCTATTGTTGCTACTTTTCAAAAAGTTTTTACGACCCCCCCCTCCCGTTGCTACTTGTAGCAACATAGTGTTGACCCTGCGCGGATGTGAGGTTAGGCGGCGGCGCCCACAAAATCGCGTCCGTCCCATGCGACCAAAAAGTGGAGAAGGGGCGTCGTCGTGAATGTGTTAAATGATTACCCGGAGCGTAGTCACCATATTCAAGAATGCTTCCCATTTGCTTGGCAGTCGGTCGATTCCACGGGTGAAGAAGTCACGATTCTTGGAGACGATCCACGCTCTAACATCGGCCACCAAGTCATCCAGCTCGTCGTAAATTTTGTTCGTTTGCCAGTTTTTCAACGACTGATTGAAGTGGTAGTCTGTAGGAGCTTCGGTCGGTAAATATGGCGTTTTGAACCTCTTGAACCATCTTTCAACTTGGCTTTTGCCGATTGTTCCCTCGCCGAAAAGATCGTTGAGATCGCGAAATGACCTGCCGCCTTTTAACCTTCGAAGTGGTAAAGCATGTGTGGCGTTTTTTGAAAATTGTTACTGAGAGAGAGAAGAATATTCCCATGAAATAATAATAAACAAAATACCAATTTGATGGGAAGAAAGAAGGCGCAAAAAATCCGTAATAATTATGCATCAACCCAATAGATGGGAGTGGTGATGCCCCCCCATCCCCCGAGTTCAGCGTGCGGTAGGCCTCCTGGTTGACATGCTAATTCTTGAACTTCGCCGCAGTGCCCAGTTTTGGAACTAAATCTTACAGGGCGAGAGACTCTGAAATGTGTCAGGTCCATTTTGACGGATTTCCTCTGTGCCAGGGCTTGGTCCTGGGAGCGCTCATGAAGATTATAACATAGGCTAACTCCAAAGGGGTCCATGGCGCAATTAGGAATCTCGTGGATCCCTCGAGGTGTTGCAAAAAAGTCGCCTTCATGGTAACACCGTCGAAGTGCACTTTCGCGGTTGCGTCAGCGTGGTCCTATGTGAGAGCGATCGGTTGGTGACACCATTTGTACCAGCGCATAAAATGGTAAAAAAAAACCCGTGTCATCCGTTGTAGCGGGTGGATTGCTCTCCATAACACCCCTCTTCTTCTTGTACTATGGCACACGAAAATTACTAGTGCTGCATTTCCAGTTTTGAATTATTCATGGAAGAGCAGTTTATTAATAATTTTTTTCTTCCAGCAGAGCCGTTCCTCTTCTAGCAGAAACCGCACGTCTTCGCACAGATAGCCATTTTAGCGTACATAGAGAAGGCACGGTTCTCACAGTAGCCTGGAATTCTATGCGCTGGGCATCTGAAAAGTAGGGCGTGAACAAAGCGGTACTCAAAGCAACTTCAACTGAGCATTACGTGGGCTTGTCCATGCAGGAGGTCGGCATTGGAGTTGTAGTGGTTGTTGAGTAGTACGGTTGAGGGGTACTCACTGGTTGTGGGTTAGTTATGAAGGCACCGACTGAAATCGTGAAATGGCTGAGCATTTTCTCAGAAGAAGATTGATTAGCATTGACGTTCTTAACTAAGCTAATAATTTTTCAAAATTTATACTTGAAAGCCAGTTTTCATTGCAGTGGTGTTGGTCATTTCATAAGGAGTATTCTGATGAGCGAATGCCTTCTCAAAAGACCCATTCCCTTGGGGCACTTTATAAAATTGAATTTCAGGATACTCACGAGTTCGATACTTCAAAACTGTTGTTGATTCGCCATATCGATTATAAGTAATTATAGGAACTCGATTAGTTTCCGAAACGAGTGTTCTACCTGCATCAGTGTGAGCACAGAATCTGAAAATCACCTCGAAATGATGGAATACGCTGGAAAACTTATTTCACAAGAATTCGAGCTTCACCTGAAACCAGTAAGACGTTGATCTTTCTGCGTTTTAATTTCGACTCCAGCAAATTTGCATCCAAAAGAAAATAGTCCTGGTGTGAAACTTTCGATTTTTACTTCAATAACAGCTCCAGGAGGTGCCTTAACATTGCAGTTAGTTAAAATATGGCACTATTGTACCATAACAACCCAAGAAATGATGAATTTTTCCCCAAAATTTTTTAGGGGTCATTCAGTGGCCACATCACAAATACAACATTTATTTTTTACGCTAGAGCCATGTGGAGCCAGTTTGATGTCATTAGGCAAATAGGCGTCAGTAGCGCTAAAAGCTTCGGCTTCAATAGCGAATGCCATATTGTGATCTTAAAAGGATAAAAGGATAAAGCATTTGCCGTTGATCAATCCCTTTTGGGATGCGGCACGCATTCTACTTCCATTTGTACATTCGTAGTGGCGTTTGAATGCGATGTGGCCTATACAATGACTTGCGGGGGCCAGCCGATGTACAAGTCAGTGTTTTTATCCTCCCAGACAAGTCTGGTACCAATTAACCGACCCCGGAGGGATGGAAGGCTTGGTTGGCCCGGGCGACTCACGACCCAGGATTTGATCCCCGGACCGCTCGCGTGGTAAGCGTGCCACTTGCCACTACACCACTTCCGCCCTATTTGATCTTAGTAAAAACCGCTTATTTCAAGCTTTTGTTCTAGTGAAAGTTCTTTTCAAACCCTCTTTGGGGTTGTGCTGGTTTTATAATAATAAGGCAGTACTGTATACAATTCTGTCTACACTAAATATTTTGTTTTTGTCAGTATGCAGAAGATACCAATATTTTTATGTTGTCTCATAAGCAGTGTCGCTTTTTCTTCATCCAAAAAAATTTCATACTAAATTCCCATGTTTTACATTGAGTCATATGCCATTCGAACGAAATTGTCTGCTCTACGAAATGTGCTTCACTCCCACATTCGCTGCAGAAGCGTTGAATTTTAGAGCTGCAAAATGGGAAGTCCTGTCAGCGGAATTTAGCCGAACTGGCAGTTTGCTCTAAGTCATTTCCCTAAAAGAAATCGATCACTGGTGTATCATGTGTTTGATCATAGCCACTTTTGAACAGATCCCCATGAACCTCCTCAACCATTCCTTTTTTTAGCTTAGGTGTCTCCCACCAGATCGACCTCATCAAATCCAGGCACAAAATCTTTTAGAACTTGAAGAACTTCACATCGGTACTCACGGAATGGAATGGAATGAGCAGGGTGAGACTGTCGGAGTTTATCATGTCGACCAACACCATCCATGGTAACTCACAGTTCCAAGAAGCCCTCTCACCTTCGTTGGACTTGGGAGTCACCTGATGGACAGTTCCATAACGAGATAGACCACATCATCTTCAATCGAAGGTTTTGCCTGACCGACGTCGCTGTTGTTCCAAAGTTCTACACGGGATCGGACCATCGTCTCCTCCGCGCAAGATTCCACTTCTCGATGCGTGTTGAGAGAGCAGCAAAGTTCAGGAAGCGAAGCCCCAGGACAGTCATCAACTGGGACCACTTCGCTTCCCTCGTCAGCTTATGGGAGGATTCCGTCATCGAAAACATCGACGAGGAGTACTATCGGCTCGTTGAACATCTTCACGATTGTGGCAGGAAGGCAGAGAGTTTGAAAGTCACCAAGGGACGTCTGTCTCCGGAAACTCTCGAACTGATACGCCAGCGTGGAGCCGCACGAGCTGCAGGCAATCACCGACTCACGTCCGAGCTTGCGAAGCTATGCAGAGAGGCGATAAAGGAAGATCTCAAGGAGCGAAGAGCAGCAGTATTAGCTGAAGCAGCAGAGGCTGGGAGGAGCATCCGCAATGCCCGCCGAAGCTTTGCCAGCTACAAGACCAAGATGACCTGCCTCCGACGTCCGGATGGAACAGTTACTGCATCCCGAAGGGCAATGGAGAAAGTCATCCACGACTTCTACTCGGATCTCTTCGATAGTCCATCTGCCTACTTATCAACCGCAAGAGGATGGATACTTGCCCCTTC